TCCACTGATAAGAATGTCCTATTCATTCTGTGTTCCTCACCGGTTGCTACAGAGAGAGAGAGAGAGAGAGAGAGAGAGAGACTCTACAGGCATTGAATGAAAAGCACATCTATTTCTGAGGGGGAGCACGAGCACGGTAGAAGATAATTATTGATTTGAAATAAGAAAAGATAAGACTCAACCTTGAGCAGCCCAGCGATAGCGTGCAGAACAGAATAATTAATGGGCCTGTCTTGTGTCGGGACAAGCTTTCACACTGAGACGAGCGTATTGATTTTAAACAGATAAACTGCGTAACCCTTTGTGAAGGGTTTGACAAACAATTTAATTGGGGGGAAAAACAACAATATTCCTCACCCTTTCCATCTCTCTTTCATCACGTCCCCGAGCTGTTTTTCCTCTGCCTGACCTATGGAAACAATTACTGTGCATCAGGACTTGTACTGCCTCCAGACTACCAAGGAAGGCTGGTGTAGGATGCACACACTGATTGGGGAATCTAATCAGCGGTGGAACCTGTCTCCACTCCAGATGCCTGTGTTGAAACTGGGATTACCGAAGCCTTTTAGCTGTATTGCCCCCTCTCTGCTTCTGTCAGAGAGAGAGAAAGATGGATCTGCCTGTTTAAATGTACCTGCCTGCTAGAGCTGAAGCGGAGATAATTTACTGTTCCCGTACAACCCTCCTCCTTCCTAATCCCCAAGGAGAGCAGCAAAGAAGCCCCAGTCCTCTCACTTCTTCCCTTACCCTCCCCTGATTAGTGATAGGGGCCGTTTGATCATGTTTCCCTGCCTGTCCTTGTGATTTGTAAGCTGTTTAAACGTGAACGAGGCAATTAAATAAGGACGAATGGCGCGTAGGAGAGTGGGTGCCGTGGTGATCATTAGCGATGAATTACCCTGGTGTGCACTCAAACACTTGGGAGGACTTTCAGGCGGACCACTCCTGAGGATCCAGATCCAATCTAGCCATTGATTAACAGAGACTTGTTCTTCCTGTGAAATCACTCGACGGGGATTTTAGGGCACTCATCCGGTCTTATCGAGATAGGCTAACATCAAAGGCGAATGAAGAGGGATTGGGTAAATGGGCTCGCCTTGCCCTCCATGTAAGAGACTTAGAGAAGCAAATCTTGAATTATTGCCTCATGTAAATAATCTACTTGGCTTGTTTTTTGGGGAGGTGAGAGAGGAACTCATGAGTCACTCGGGGCAGAGAACTCTCGTAGTACTTTGGAAGCTCTCATGTTTCTCTTGATGGGAATCAACGGTGGGGGCTCCATCTCCAGGAATGTAAACAACACGTTGTTCCTGACTTGTGTGATCTGCCCTAACAATTTGAATGTGTTAAGCCGGGGAGATATAGAGGTATTAGTTTTTGAGGAGGACTCTCATATCCTCTGAATACAAATATTGCATTCAGTAGCCTAATTCCCCTAATTTGAATATGATTTGATTTAAGCTGAATAAATAAGTGCCTCCATTAGTCTCAAATTGGAAGGTATGAAATTGAAAAATAACACAGTGCCTTTAGTTAAGAGTGGTATTTAACCAGAGTGTCAGGGGCAGTCTCTTGTAAAGCACATGTTATATAACGCAGACTATCCATACATTAGCGGAATGCATGGCATAGTTGGAATTGCTCTTCCACTGAACAACACCAGCGGGTTTTAAAAGCAGAGGTTACTGGCTGAGGACATTTTGTTCAAAACAATTTCTTTTTCTCTGCTCCCTCCCATCACTGAGTGAGCTTAGACTGCAGTAGATGGAAAGGGATTTTCTCTCCCTAAATGGCCAAGGGGGCCGTTTACGGTGTCACTACTATGGGATCACATGATGTTTGAGGGTGTAAAGGTCTCGAGGCAGCTGCTCCTTTTCGGATGGGATTTTCGAGGCGTCCAGGAGCAGGGCCCCATGCTGTCTGCAATGAAAGGTGGAGCAAATACTTCTAGGGAAGAAAAAAAAAAAAAAGCTGAAATCCTCAGTAGCTGTGTGTCTATTTGAAATGGGTTCTGGAGTCCCTCGGCTGCCTTCATGTTATAAACACCCACAGTGCTCAAATTCTTCCTTTGTCAAGGAGTCATAACAGGTGTCTCAGGAAGGAGTTTTTTCCCGGTTAGCATATTTTCCACTTGCATGGAAAGTTTTTTTTCTTTATTAGGAACATTCTGCCCTGGGTAGACCCCTTGCCTTGAGACATGATATGCAGACTTTCTTTGAAGCAGTAAAGGTTACTTTCACACTCGCTCAAAATTCGGCCATGCCTAGTTAAACCAGGTTGTGCTCAAGTATTAAACACCTCTGGCTGACATGTTGGTAAGCCATGATGCACTTTGCATACAGATTACTCTTGTCTGCAGCGAGTGTACATACAGCAGACGTTCAGTCTTAAAACTCAAGTATTCTAACCCTAAACATGCAACCTTTGACCTCCCCTGAAAATGTTTTTGTAATCCTAAAAAGGGAGTGCATTGGCACTGTGTAGCAGAGCCTTTACATAACCAGCGCCCCATGGGATTACACTCAAGCATTTTCTCAACAACCCCTCTTACTCAGTTAATTTAAGGGTGGAATTACACATAACGCCAGTAGGAATGGTATGGTGCACCTTGAACTATTTACCATGTCATTGGATTTTTTTTTCCCCCCCAGATGTAAACACACTTGCAAATGGACAGTCTTCAATTTAAAGCTGGGGAAAAAAAAAAAGCCAAGGACCTCCTAATGTGTCGAATCATCTTGACTGCAGTTAGGTCAATTTCCTTAGCAGAGTGGACACGTTTATATAGCCAGCCCCCTGGGAGACTGTTTGTGTGAACGACGTGGCGAATACACATTATTCATGTTCGCAGCTCCCCAGATAAAGACTCTATCTCACTGCATAGCCCAGCTTTGGATCACGTTACGCATATGCATTGAAGCTATTGATGTTTGAAATGGCAGTATGATGGGAAAATACAAAAATGATACAACTGCCTTCAGTATTTCACTGTAGACCCAAGAGTGTTCCTGTGGTTTCTGTTTGAAAACTCAGCAATTGTTTACTCCCCATTCCCCAGTGTCATGTCTGTTTTCTTGACTCACTGTGTTTAGTCTCTTACAGTCATTTCTAAACTTTGCTGTATGGTTGAGACATGAAACATTTAATAAAATATGGCCTTTCCCTAAACAAGTTATCTGGCTATGAGAAATATGAGTAAATTGTAAAACCTATTTCTCTAATTGCCCTGAAAACATCACTTATGAAATACAAAATAGTGGCCCATCTCTACAAAGTGAAAGATGAATAGTTTCTTTTATTTCACGCATCCCTTTGAGGAAGCAGTTCAGGTTCCTCAGAAATGACTTTCACTGCTCATCTTGCTTTAATATTGGATGGCTAACTACAACCATGTGTGGACAATGTTACTCTTTTGCTTTTATCAAGCTGACATTTAGACCCTAACTGCCTCTTTTCAACTCCTGCAACATTTGTGGTCAAGTATCCTATTTAACAAAATCCAGCATTTGCTTGCTGCTTTTATTGCTGCCTGTTTTCCTTCTCAAGCAGTTTATATAAACAACTTTTGCCTGGAATGTCACACTTGAAGGATAGTAAAAAAGAAAAAGAAAAAAAAAAAGAAGTATGTTGCTTTCAAGTTTATTATATTGCAGAGTTGGCATACTGCTGTCTTCTTTACAGGACAACCAGGGAGTCTCCAGGTTAAATAAAAATATTCTTAGTAGTTTGACTAATTTGAGAAGGTAGAAATAACATTTTGATTAGAAAAAATACATCCACATAGAGTAAGCTGTACCTCAACATTGTATCTTGTGATTGGGAGTACAGGAAATTACATAGCAAGTGAGCAGAGAAGTCTAAACAGTTAATTAAAACTAGTGCATAAATGGTTGAAATAGTTAAATTGTATGAAAGCATTGTTGTTGTTTTTTATAGGCTAATGAATTATTATGTAGCTGAGCTGTGGGGATAAACTAAACTAAAAAACAAAACATGTTTGTAATTGTAATGTAAGTCCATTACTGACTCTGTTTTTTGCTCTATTTTGGTCTTCACCAACTCCTGAGAGAAATATCTGCCTCTTAAGCTGGTGTTTAGCATGCTCCACTACGTTCACTAAGCTAACAGGTTGCTAGCTGTTCTGTGCTATGAAAATAGTTGTCCGAGGTTGATGAGAGCAGCAAGACTGAACTTAAAACAGTAGATTATGGACCTTAAAACCAAACTACAAGCTAAAAGGGACTAATTAGCTCTGCAGAGCTAAGAACTGCAGAGTCTGGTGATAGCTGTGGGCAACCTCTTTCAAACAGCACTTGAACCACTGAAAATATGTTAACATGCAAAGATTCTGTTGTTATACTAACATAATATTAGCATGTTGGGATGCGAAAGTTTATTATTTAAGTTTGGCATGCTAGCATGCTAGACTGGCATGCTAACTACATAACATAAGATGCTATGTTGGCATACTAAAATGTGTGTTTTGCCTCTCAGCAGGTTGTGATTCTAACATTAGTATTTTAGCATGCTGTGTTAGCTAGTTATTGTACTGTATGTTGTGTTTAGAGGAAATTATGACATGTCAACAGTGATAAAAAGGTCAATGAATCACCAAAGTCACTATAGGATCCATTCTATGTAGACCATAAATGTCTGTACCAAATTTCGATCCATCCACTTATTGTTGAGGTCTATCGCACCCTCTATTGTCTGCTCTACATCTATACCTGTGCAACCTCTTGTAATATATATATATAGTTATATATATATATATATAGTCTATAATATGGATAATTCGATTGTTTGAGGTGCTTATGAAATACAATTCCTCCTACACATGTTGTATTGTGACCGGTGTTAAGAAACCTGTTGTTTGCCCATGTTACAGCTGGTTGTATTTGGTGTTTACACAAAGCCTTTATCAGTCTGGTCAGATTCTCTCTTTGGTTTATCTGGAACATTATCTTTTGTTACAACTCTTGCCCTTGTCTTTATTTCAGGTTTGAAGAAATTGTCAAGAGGAACAAAGTTGAATACCATGCAGGTGGCTCAACCCAGAACTCAGTGAAAATTGCTCAGGTTAGTCTTCTCTGGCCCTCTGCAGTGTGCCTGAATGTGTTTTGAATATACAGTGGTATGCTTGTAACCTTAGATTTGTCAGCCTGGCAGCCCTGGGAATACAGAGCATAGCTGCACAGCAAGTTGACACATTACAGTTTTAGGTGTTGTGAATTCATCAGACCTGCCACGGAGAGAGAAAGGCGGGAAGGATTCATAATATTTGCAGTGTTATCTAGTTGGCCTAATTTCCTGAGACATATCAAACATCAATTAGAGAGAATTACAAGTAGATGCAATTAACATGTCACAACAAATTATATCAAACAAATGCTGATCTTCTCCCTCGCTATTAGACAGATTTGAGCATCCAAAAGAAATTGGTGATTGTCCAAATCTAAAATGGCAATCTGAATTTGAGAAGATTATTCACTAGATCTGTTTTTTTTTTTTTTAAGTGACTGCAGTAAGTCTGTGAATTTGACATGCAGTGATTAGCTGCTGATAAGGCTTTGGTCTGCTCACAATAAACAAAGAAAAGGCATCCAGCTGAAAAATAATTCTCTTCCAAGGAGAAATGAGTGCAGAAGCTAATTGAGAGGCTGATGTTTGTGAAAGCGCCGACTCCTTCTTGTGTGTGGGTTTTTGTTTGTACATGTCAGTGGAGTGTGTAGAGTTCGTATTTGTACACATGTGCTTGTGTTTGTGCGTGTATGCGTGTGTGTATTTAGCACAAGATTGATACAGAGAGAGAGGAAAAAGAAAGCAGGCAGGCCCTCAGGCTGCCACCATCTCCATGCTTTGGAGACAGTAAACATCCTTTAAAAAGAGACGCGGAGCTGTGCACCTCCATACAAACACTCTTTAATTATCAAGATCAGAGGCGTTTGCATAAACTTCAGTCACTCACAGACATTAACTGCCAACTGGATTTTTTTCTTCTTTTTAAATCTTCTGTGCTTGTTACACTCAGATTTTTAAAAAACCAGCGGCCTCACTTTTCAAGTTTGGTCATTACATTTTAAAATTTTCAACAGATTATTTCCCCCTGTCTTGTCATTATGCAAGCTAACGCCATGGGTTTAGCTTTGTCTGCCTCAGTTAAGACATAGACCTTGACAAGGATATTTCATGTTTTATTTAAGAAGACATTGAAGGAACTGCCCCAAGGTGCGTATCAACTCCCTTGTGAAATCAGATGGAGAAGGAGATTTTTATTGCTGGCCCTTCCTGGAAAAAGAGCCGTCATGGCCTCTGTGCCCCGTGAGAAGCATTCAGTCAACTAAATTGGTCTTATAATGGCATGGCAGACCCCAGTCAAATGTTATTCTACTCTGTTTATTTGGGTATTTACCCCCTTCAGAGGGGAGATGTCGAGCTGATTCTGAAATGCTCAAGATAACAAGAGTGTTTTCGTCCCACACCCAGAAGTCTCAGAAACAGTTTCTGTCAATATATACCTTGAAGCGCTGACTTTTCCACATTTCACTTTCAGGTGATGGTGTTCTTTTATGAAAAATGTATAATGCATAACCGGCTCCCAGATTATCACATTGTAGCACCTGCAATATGTGAAACTTCAAACCCTGCTGTATTGTGGAAGCTGAACCTTCAAACACGAATGATATGCACTGCAGCACTGAATCCACATCAAAGGGCCCAGTGACTAAATGAGATGCTCGATCCAGGGCAGGTTTGCTCAGGAGCACCATCGCCGCTGGAGGAGAGAGAAGTGTTCAGAGGCTTTGCACAGGAATCGCTGCACACGCTGGGAAAACCCAGGGTGTGGGAGGATCAATGCCTTTGCCAGTAGAACTCGTACTTTCCTCCAAAACCCAGCCGCTTCATCGGAGGCTGTAATAGGTTAAATACTGCCGCTTCATCCCAGTTAAGATTTCTGCACTATCAAGGAAAACCTAAACCTTGGCTTTAAGAAGATACAGAATCGATGGTAATTGGATTTAGTCAAATGAGAATTGACCAAGCTGAAGCTTAGATGGATAAGTATTGTTTTCCTCTAACCGCTGTCTCTGCCCTGCTCTTTGATCGAAATCATCCGTAGCAGTGTTTGCTAGCCGTTCATTGGTTGCACTCAGTGCTATCTTTAGCACTGGGACATTACTTTTTTCTTCTTTCTTTTTCATTTTCCATGTGTTATGGCTCCTGTCACTACTTATACATATTCAAAGCACACATCATGACAAACTAGAAGTCCCAAGGTAGATGTATCAACACATTTGTACTTCCTTAGCTGTGCACCACTACTCCTCTATAAGCTTTAGATCTTGTTTGGATCAAGTCAGTGAAGTTGCAAGCTTGTATGCAGAGCTCTCTGGCTCTGATTCTAAAGGAAAAAAAAAATGCAATGATAGAAGTAGGTTAGAGGTTGTTGTCTTTGCCCAGGCTCTAACAAACACCATGCCCTGAAGGGGCATCCGACATAAAGGCTCACCTAGTGGATGTTGCGGGGCTGTAAGGTAACAAAAACCAGCCCAGCGTTGCTTGCTCACATACAGCCTCACACATCAAAGGGTTTCTGCTCAGATAGGGTGCGGCGGGAAACCACAATCATATTTTTTTCAGTCATTTACAAAGTTGAAGGGGGAAAAAAAAACAAAAAAAAACTGTGGCCTCTCTGAGCATGTGATCCGGTATTTGGTACCACTGAGCACGCATGGTGTTTATCACAGGTGACAGAGTTGGTGGGGGGAGTCAGTTGACTGGAGGGCTGTATCAAGAAGCACAGTCAATTCATTTAGACAGAACATCAAAGTCCTCCAACAGCTCCTTGGGGCCCTGAGATTGAAGTCTGAGCAGAGACAGGTTCATAGGGAGTTATTGCTGCTGCCAAGGAAGTAGATCCTACTCTGAGTGCCTCGTGTAAACCGTGCATTCTCATTATGATCCTCACAAATCAACACCATTGACATATTTTATTTCTTTGCACTGTAAGCAGGCTTTGTACCCATTCACCAAAGGGAAAAATTGCTTTGTGTAAGTGCCCTAGCTGTGAATGTGTCACAAAAAGTTATGATTGAGTATGTTCCTTTTTCAGTATTTAGATTTTGTGTGATGTTTGCCGTCTACATCATCAATTCACTGTGATGTCTTAATTATTGTTTAGAAAGTAAAGGCTTTTGAAAAATCTGCCGTCTCTGTTATGGTTATGATGCCTGTTTAACATTTCCTCAGACTTGGTCAGTCGTGGAAGGGGTGAATGGGGCCCAGACTTGGATGTTGGCTCTGAACTCTTAATTGGAAACGCATGTGCACCACACTGTTGAAAGTTGTATTTAAAAAACAGAAAAATCCCACAGCACTACTTGACTTCGAAAAAGGTCCTCACCAGCTCATATTTTGTAGGGGAATACTTAAACTGGGTTTGATGTCTCATTGAAGGCATTGACTTATTTCTTGGGGTGAAAATATTCCATGACCTAATGTTTGGCTTTTACAGCTCGTTTTGTTAAATAAATAAAGAACAGCAGCTTGCCTCCATTTGAATGGGCTAAATGAAGAAATGCCTACGTCTGGTACCACTTAGAGCAAAGAGGACAGTTAAGGAGAAAGAGTGGAGCTTTTGTGTTCAAACTATGTGACTGAACTTTCAGGAGGATGTGCTTAGACGCTAAAAGAGGGCATTCACAATTTTACTGTTGCTTTCTGTTTTCGCTTACATTCTTGTCACACTTTATGATTTAGTGTTAAGACAAATATTCTTTTGTCTGTGAAGAGACCTGGAGGGCTTTTGACACATTTTGATGGCGGATCACTCCATAGCGCCTGGGATCTACATGAGAGCTTTGACTTTTCTGGTTTGGTTTTTTTGATCACATTGAGTGAGCTTGTAGTTGCATAGATCTTGGCGCAGCTGTGCCGAAATGAGCATGCTAATGACCGATTAAAACCTGAACCCTGGTGGGCCTTTGAGTTGCACGCTGCAGAAATCAACCCTCTCAAGTATGCGCCTGTTGTTAAAGCAAAAGCCTCTTGTTTGTTTTAAGACAGGTTAATTGCAGAACCACTGTTGGCACCCACTCTGAGCCGTTTTTATGGCACCAGGGTCTTGCCGTTTCCTCCCCATTACGAAGCAGTGGAAGGTCACAGTCTGTTAAGCTTCTTGCGAGAGATGCATGAAACCAAATGGATTTTTTTCTCTTTCTTTTTCGTTCCCATTTCCACTCATTCTAGACATTCCAGGTGTGCAAGTGTGCACTGGAGGGGGGTGGGGTGGGGTGGGTGGTGGTGGGGCGTGCGTTGTGGTGGGGGGGGGGCTGCCATTGTTTTCCTCGGCACAAGCAGCGGAAGCAAAAGAACGCCTCATTCGCTTTGATGAGTGATGTGTTCATGCGTGGGCTTCAATGTCACCCGCCATGAGGCAGCTGTGAAGTCGCAGCTCACGTCTGTGGTGCCATTTACTCAATGATGAAGTGGGGAGATCTCTGTTGGTTCCACATCCACCTCCCCTTTACACACACACGTACGTATACACACACTGTCTGAGCATGTGACCCCCACCACCCCCCCACCCCCCGCCCCCCGCCCACCTCAACTGTATTATGACTGTACGTCACAGCTAATACCAGCATGCACTAAATCTAAAGCTCTGTGATCACAGTGATAAAGGTTGACTGGGCGATTATGCAAGGTTTTCTCATCACAGGGATTTGTTAACAGCTGATAGCCCCCGCCGTGTGACGCCTTCTTTCTTGTGTTTCCTCGAATTTGACTTTCACTCGAAAATAATTTGTTTGATTTAATTTTCCCCTCAGATACACAAGGCTTGTGTTGCCCTGGTGAGAAATGGCACAGATTGCTGTATAGGTGACATATTACTGTCCCTGTTGAAGTTAATTTGCCGTCAAATTTGCGACTTAATTTAAGCTGCCAAAGGGAAGACATGGGGAGTAGATTGTAACTCATAAGTATGCATTGGAAAGAGTGTTGATTAACATTGAGGGCTCGAGAGACAGACTCACTCAATGTGTATCATCTGGCCTCAGAGGCTGGCAGTGGAATTG